TGCGTGTTATACGCCTGTGCGTGTTATACGCCGATAAATACGGTAAGTCCAGAAGGTCCAGATGATGGAAGCAGCCCCTCATTTTCTGAGGTAGGAGGAGGAGGAGGAGGAGGAGAAACAACGGCAGGACAATTGGACTTGCCAGGTTGTGTTATTAGAGCCGAACCGAATCAAGGCAGTTTTCGCCTTCCTGTGGGGTTGGCTGCAGGGTCAGCTGCAGCTCGTGAAGCAAAAGGAGTAGAAGCAGTTGGGCTTTTGTTCCGCTCCGTCGTGCTTTCCGTCATTCTCTGGGAGGTTTAGAATGCCCAAAGCATTATTGGCATCTAACCCCCAACAACGGGGATCCTCACTGGACCGACCTCGGAAGGAGGGAAGGCCGAGTCCACCTTGAGCATGTCCGGGTCGAACTTCCAGGCTGTGGGCACAGTCGGCCTGCAATTCTGCACCACCAGTGGCTATCCTATGGCTATAACTCCGCAGGGAAGGTGGCCAGGTGTCTCTTTTTCAAAAGAAGTCCGACCAAACCAGCGCTGGCCGGCAGACACCTTTCCCAGGAGCGTCTTAAGACCCTCCGGGGCTTCTTAGGGGAAGGCGCGACTGCCTTGGCGGGTGCTGGTTGGTCACAGTCTCTTCCCCTCTGCCCTCCTCTTTCCACAGCCCTTAATCCAGGGCAGAATTCGCTCTTTGGCAGCACCCAGCCCAAGCTGGGGGGCACACTCGGGACGGGAGCCTTTGGTGCCCCTGGATTTAACACATCAACTGCCACGCTGGGCTTCGGAGCCCCGCAGCCTGCTGTGGGTAAGTTGCTCGTGGCCCCGTAGGGCAACCTCCCCACCTCCTCCTGGCATGCTTGACGCAGCTGGAGGTGGCCTGCCAGCTGTTCTATTCCCCCCCCCCCCCCCCCCAGCGCTGTCAGGGGAGGCCGCCTTTGCCCCGTCCGGTTGAGCGGCCTCCGGTGGGCTCATCCTTGCCTTCTTTTTCCCTTCAGCTCTGACAGACCCCAACGTTTCTGCGGCCCAGCAGGCCGTCCTGCAGCAGCACCTCAACAGCTTGACCTACTCGCCCTTCGGGGACTCGCCCCTCTTCCGGAACCCCATGTCCGACCCAAAGAAGAAGGAGGAGGTAAGGCCAGCGGTGGGATGGGGGGTGTATTACCTCTGGAAAGGCAGCTGGGATAGAACCAGGACCCCACTTAAGGGGAGGGAGCTCCGGCACTCCATAGTCTACACACACGCACACACACACACATAGGGACGGCACAGGGGCCTTTCCTGCTGGCCATCGTTACGGCAGGGAGCCAAACATGGCTGAAGGTAGCACCACGAATGTATTTGAACTGCCCCAGCACCCCAAGAGAAGGAGACGGGGCGGGTGGGTAGGTAGATAAAATAGATAGACAGATAGATATGGTTGGTAGGTAGGTAGATAATACAGATATGGTAGATAGATAGGGAAGGAGGGATGAGGTGGATGATGGATGGATGGATGGACGGATGGACAGACAGACGATAGATGATTGGTAAGTGGGTAGATAATAGCTAGCCAGCTAGATGACCGCTAGGTAGGTAGGTGATAGATGATTGATAGATAACTGACGGTAGATAAATCGATTGATAGATGTTAGGTGACAGACGATTAGGCAGGCAGGTAACACATCAGAAGGGAGCAGTGGCTCCACTTGGGGAGAGAGTGAACTGCTTAAAGTCAATTGTTTAAAACTCTGGACAGGCCTTTCCAGCGTCGCTCAGGCCCAGCCAGCGGGAACCATCCGCCTTGTGAGTGAGAGCGGACGGTCAGCTCCGCATTGTGACGCTTGTTCCTTTCTTCCCAGAGGCTGAAGCCAACCAACCCGGCGGCCCAGAAAGCGCTGACTACCCCGACACATTACAAACTGACTCCCCGCCCGGCAACCCGCGTGCGCCCCAAAGCTTTGCAGACGGGCGGCTCCTCCAAATCCCACCTCTTCGACGGCCTGGATGACGACGAGCCTTCTCTGACCAACGGGGCCTTCATGCCCAAGTTAGTAGCATCCGCCTCTGATCCTTCAGGGTCGTGTTAGGCCAGAGGTCTCCAACTCTGGCCACGTTACAACTCGGGGGACTTCAGCTCCCAGCATTCCCTACCCAGCATAGTTGGCTGGGGAATTCTGGGAGTTGAAGTGCTACAGTCTTAAAGCCGCCATGGTTGGAGACCCCTGTTACAGGCTGAGATTGCCCTCAACAGTCTGGCTTTGGATCCCAGGTACCAGAGCGAGGGCCTTCAAACTTGGCGCCAGTTTAAGACGGGTGGACTCCCACTCCCAGAATCCCTGAGCTAACGTGACTGGAGGAGGAATTCTGGGAGTGGAAGTCCACAAGCCTTAAAGCTGCCGAGTTTGGAGGCCCCTGTATTAATGCCTGGGCAACTTCTTTGACTTCACTCAATAACTTTTCTCAGCCTTCACGGCTGATCCCAGGACAGCCATTGTAACTGTCCTTCCGGGTTTCTGGGAATCCCTGGCGGGTGGGAGGCTGAGAGGCTCCTGGGCTGTTTTGTAACCCTTGCCTTGTTGAACTGCAGTTGTCGGGATGCCCTGGGAGGATCCGGCTGAAGTTGGGCTGGTACGGAGGGCTTTTTTCCCCTATGTGTAATCTGAGGCTCAGAATCAGCAACGTGAAATTAGAAGAGAGGAATTGAAGAATGACTTTCTTCTCTGTGGAGTCCTTGGTGCTCTCTGAGCAGATGTTTCGTGACCCAACTGGGTAACATCATCAGTGCTGGAAGGAAGCGGGGTTGTGGAGAGGAGAGGGAAGGAGGAGGGGCAGCAACAGCAGCACCACGACTGTGGAGTCCCTGGTGCTCCCTGAGCTGGGTTGCTTCCCTGGAGACGTTTCATGGCCCAACGAGGGGACACCCTCAGCAGGGAGTCATGGAACGATCTGCAAGAAAACCACCAGCTCAGACTGCAACGTGGACTGCATGGTCGTCCTCTTCCTCTCCCTCCTCCCCACAAACTCTTCCCTCCCCCTCCAACTCGCCCTGGTGAGGTTCCCTAGTTGGGTCATGAAACGATCTGCAAGAAAACAAGCCAGCTCAGAGAGCACCAAGGACTCTCCTCCTCCTCCTCCTCCTCTTCTTCCTTCTCCTCCTCTTCCTTCCTTTCCTCCTCCTCCTCCTCCTTCCTTCTCCTCCTCCTCCTCCTCTTCTTCCTTCCTTTCCTCCTCCTCTTCCTCCTCCTCTTCTTCCTTCCTTCCTTTCCTCCTCCTCCTCCTCCTCCCCCCTGCAAACCCCTTAAGTCCTTCTAGCCTTGATGATGTTCCCTAGTTGGGTCATGAAACGTCTCCCAAGAAAAGAGCCCCGCTCAGGGAGCCCCGAGGCCCCCACCGTTCAGCCCCGAGCTACGAAGGTTCTCCTCTACCTCAGGACTTCCTCCTCCTCCTCCTCCTCTAGGCCTCCTGCCAAAACAGGACCACCACAGCGGGGACCTGGGCTGGAACTGAGTGCAGGGGGGAGGCCGGACTCTTACCTGGGAGCCATTCCCTGCTTTGGCTTCTCAGCATCAGAATCTCACGGGGTGTCCGTATTTCTCTCCCCCCCCCAGGAAGAGTATTAAGAAGCTGGTCCTGAAGAACCTCAACGGCAACAGCCTCTTCTCCCCCACCAGCGCCGATGTGGATGACCTTGCCTCGCCTTCCGTCTACCCCGAGAACGGGGATCGGTACGTCTGCCCCTCCCCCCCCCATCTCTGCCCGGTTCCTTTAGGCCACTAGCAGAGGTCGGTCGTTAAACCCAGCTCCAGGTGCAGCGGAGCCATTTGCTGTCCTCCTAGCTATGAAGGTGGAAGTGCTGTGCCTGAATTTCAGGCTGAGTGCAGCATCTAAGTGCAGCACTGTGAAGCATCTAAGTCTAAGTGCTATTGCTATAGTTATTGCTGTACGGCTGGCTCACTCGTTCAGGTGGTTTACAGAAATGAACCCCAATGCAAAACCCAATCCCACCCCCCCACCCCCGATTAAATAAATACATAAATAAACAAATAAATATGGGCAAGGCGTGCCCGCCTGAGCTCCTTCGCGGGAGGAATTGCAGCCGGAGTTCTAATGGAAGCCTGCGGATCCTGAGCCCGTGGCCTCCGTTCTGGAGATTCCC